ACCCCTTCTCCAACAGTCCCTCAATTTGTCGTCGCAGCTCCTCGAGTTCTGGTTGGGTCAACCGCCACTGTGTACGAACAGTCGGCTGCGCGCCAGGCTCCAGCTGGATTTTGTGGTCCTCGGGGCGTTCGGGTGGCAGTCCAGGTGGCAGATCGTCGGGGAAGATGTCCGGGTACTGTCGAATCAGCTCCGCTAAATCAGGTGGTACAGCTGCGCACAGCTTCTCGATGTCCTTTCCGTCGGTGTCGGTTGCCAACTCGCACAAACATACGGCGAACAGCTGCGCGCCTCGGTTGAAGTGGCGAGCAATAGTGATAGCTTTGATGCACGGGGCTTGGATGTAGTCAGGTGTCCATGCAGGCAATTTAATTGGCCCCTCGTGCTTGCTGATGCTGCACGATCCCGTTGTCCAGTCGATGACGGGGTTGTGCCGTCGCAGCCAATCGCGTCCCAGCAGCACGTCGCAGCCGTCCGTTTGCGGGTGGTATGCCGATGAAAACTGTAGCTTCGTGCCGTACTGCGCCCACGTCTCCTTCCAGAATTTCGACGTGAACTTCGGATCCCTGTCGCTGATGATCGCTGCGGGGATTCCGTGCAGTCGCACGACTGTTGAGATGAAGAGGCGCGCAGTTTCTTCGGCTGTGATTGTCGTACGACACGGTGCGAAGTGCGCCATCTTCGTGAGGCGATCGACGACGACGAGAACCGCGTCGTTGCCGGACGGCCCAGCTGGCAGCCCCGTGACGAAGTCCATCGTCACCTGTTGCCACGGTCGTTCGGGTGGCTCGAGGGGTTGCAGCAGTCCAGCTGGCCGCTGACGTGTCGATTTCATGGCTTGGCACACCCTGCATGAGGACACATATCGCTGCACGTCGTTAGCAGAATCAGGCCAATAATATTGACGGTGCAACAGCTTCTGGGTTTTATCAACCCTGAAATGTCCGGAAAGGTTAGAATCATAGACCTCCTGAATGAGGAGTTCACGCAGCAGTCGGTAAGCGGGAACCCAAATCCGGTCAGTTCCGGCCTTTAGGTAATAGTTCCCCTTCTGCGTCGTCGCCTGCCGGTGATTCCCAGTCGTGAAGAACGGGTCCGTAGTGTAGCCGTGGGTGAATAGTCCCGTAAGTAGCGGGTTCGAATGGGTGATGAGCACTGCAGCGGATTGAACTGTTGGTCGAGTAAGGGCATCGGCGATGTTATTCGCCCCTTTCTTGTACGTGATGCGGTAGGTGAAATGACTCTCCATGTAGTCCAGCCACCGAATTTGTCGCGGGTTGAGGTTGGGCTGAGCTCGCAGGTACTGTAGGGACTTGTGGTCCGTGCGAACAGTGACGTCGGCGCCCACCAAGTAGCAGCGCCACAGTTTGAACGCGTGTATTATGGCGAGCATCTCCTTGTCATGTATCGGGTAGTTGCGCTCGGCTGACTGCAGCTTGCGTGACTCGTAGGCGATCGGCTGCAGCCCGTTCCCGAAACCCTGGAGGAGTACAGCTCCGATGGCGAAATCTGAGGCGTCGGTGACGACTTCGAACGGCTTCGATGGGTCGGCGATGCGCAAAACCGGAGGGGAGACGAGAAAATTCTTCAATTCCTGAAAAGTCGCCTCAGCTTCCTCCCCCCACACAAAATTCCTGTCCTTGTGCAGCAGGTCGGTCAGCGGGCCGGTTATCCCCGCCATATTCGGGATAAACCGCCTGGCGTAATTCACGAAGCCCAGAAAACTCTGAAGTTCCGTGATGTTAGTCGGGGACTTCCACTCCTGAATAGTCTTGATTTTCGCCGGGTCGATTTTGATGCCGTCGCGGGAGATGACGTGCCCCAAAAACTCCAACTCCTGCTAAAAAAACTCGCACTTAGAGCCCTTGGTGATGAGGCGGTTCTCCTGCAATCACTTAAACACTGCGTCGAGGTCTCTGAGGTGTTGTTCCCTTGTCCTGCTAAAAATCAGAATATCGTCCAAATAGACGATCGCACACTTGTCGAGAAATTCCCGGAAAATCCTGTTCATGGTCAGTTGAAATGTTGAAGGCGCGTTTGTGAGGCCGAACGGCATCACTGTGAATTCGTAGCTTCCGTAGTGGGTGCGAAACGCGGTCTTGTGACAGTCGTCGGCGAAGACCCAAATCTGGTGGTAACCGCCACGCAAGTCGATTTTCGAAAAGTAGCGAGCGCCGCGAAGTTGATCGAGGAGGTCGTCGGTGCGTGGGATTGGGTAGCGAGATTTGATGGTCACCCGGTTGAGCGCGCGATAGTCGATACACATGCGAAGCCCGCCATCCTTTTTCGGCGTGAACAGGATCGGGGCTGCGAAGGGGGATGTACTGGGTCGAATAAACCCCTTCTCCAACAGTCCCTCAATTTGTCGTCGCAGCTCCTCGAGTTCTGGTTGGGTCAACCGCCACTGTGTACGAACAGTCGGCTGCGCGCCAGGCTCCAGCTGGATTTTGTGGTCCTCGGGGCGTTCGGGTGGCAGTCCAGGTGGCAGATCGTCGGGGAAGATGTCCGGGTACTGTCGAATCAGCTCCGCTAAATCAGGTGGTACAGCTGCGCACAGCTTCTCGATGTCCTTTCCGTCGGTGTCGGTTGCTAACTCGCACAAACATACGGCGAACAGCTGCGCGCCTCGGTTGAAGTGGCGAGCAATAGTGATAGCTTTGATGCACGGGGCTTGGATGTAGTCAGGTGTCCATGCAGGCAATTTAATTGGCCCCTCGTGCTTGCTGATGCTGCACGATCCCGTTGTCCAGTCGATGACGGGGTTGTGCCGTCGCAGCCAATCGCGTCCCAGCAGCACGTCGCAGCCGTCCAACGTTGTCGCGAGAAACTTCATGCTGAAGCCGAAATCGTCGCCGCATTCGATCCGCACCGTCCGTGTTTCTTCCAAAATCGCCAGAGGCGTCCCATCCACGAGGCGAGCGTCGATTTCGGGCAGACACCTGTCAAGTTGCAGCTTGCATTTTTTTGCTGTCGCCAAGTTGAAGAGGCTATGGCTGGCCCTTCCGTCGACGAACATTTTCAAGTAATTTTTTAACACTTTGCCAACGACCAGCACAGGGTGATCCACATGGTTATCCCCGTTATTCGGCCGAGTGCGATCGATTGCATGAATCGGAACCACGACTCGGTGGGGATGATGGTGTTCGGGCGACAGAGCACAGTCAGTAAGGGGCCCGTCTGTTACTGACTCTTCCCATTTCCCGGCTCTTTCCCGTCGTTCCTCTTCGCCGGCGTTCTCTCGGGGCAGTCTGCATATTTGTGACCCGGCTTCCCGCACTTATAACATAACCCTGTGTAGGGGCGGTCTGGTGCATGGACTCCGTTGATCGTGGCCCGTTGGGTCTGGCCGCGAAAACGATTTCCCTCCCGGAAACTCGACCTCGCGTACTGCATCAGCGCGTCCGTGGATTCTGCCAACCGTGCTGCTTCCAGGAACGATGTCGGGCGGCATCGGCGCACCTCATACTGTATCTCGTATTTAAGGCCGCTGACGTACTTGTCTAACCGCTCCGCTTCCGACATGTCGTCCACTTGGTCGGCGAGGGCCATGAAATTTGCTGTGTAGTCTTGGACAGATGCCAACTGCGACCAGGTACGCAGCTTCATGCGAGCTTGTTCCGAGCCGGATATGTGCTCGAAGCGATCTCGTAAGGCTGCGCCCCACTCCTTCCACGTGCGTATCTTGGTCACGCCGAATATCGGTGCTGCCACTTGAGTAACCGTCGTTGAAGTCCCGTCTGCCGCATGTGTCACACCTGTCGGGGTCCCCGTGTCCAAGGTTCGGCGCCACCACTCAAGCGCTGCGCCTCGAAGGAGAGAAACCGCGTAATTAATACGCGTGGCATCGTCGTTCACGCCTGCTGCAGTGAAGAAGACTTCAACGCCGAAAAGCCACCCCTTCACTGTAGTAGTCTTGTCCATAGAGTTGAACGGGGGCGGGTTGACGGGTTTAATCTTGATCGTTGTTACTGCAATTGGGTCGCTGCCGCTCGCTGCCTATCCTCTTCTTCGAAATCACGTGTGAGCGCGTCCAACGGGTTGCTCACCGCTTGACTGTTGCCCTCGCCTTCTTCATCGGGCGACTCCTGACGCGCTTCACCTCGCGTCTGGCGTAGCTCGGCGTTTTCTCCTCGTAGTGTTGTCACTTCTGCTGATAGAGTCTTCACTGTTGCCTGTAGCTCTGCCATTTGCGCCAGCATCTTGTTCAATGTCTCCCGGTCCATGAGTCGCACGCTTCGTCTGGTGGGCAGAGGGGTATCCGTGGCCCTCCGGTGAGTGGAAAACACGAACTATCGGAGTCGGGCAGGATTGAATTAACAAACCTTGCAGCCAACCGTCGTGTAGTCCACTATACCGACCACACCCGTGCCACCAAACTACCCTCGAAAAGCGGGGTGAACTAGGAAAGTAGCTCTGATACCAGGTGTTATGAGTTGTAAAAGAGAGTGCGCGGAATAACGAATAACGAAGATGTGACTCAATGAACTGACAATACAATGAAGGCATGCGCTAATATAATGGGCCAACCTAGCTAGGCGGGAACCTCGGGAACACGAGGTTGGGTGCAGGTTGGGCAAAGGAAAGGCCGAAGGCGACGCGAGGTTGCTTCGGCAGCAAGCAAAGTGGCCGAACGTGCACTTCCGAAAGTTGGGGTTGTACGCGGTTGAGTAAACCCCTGTAAGGAAAAGGGTTTTTCCTTACATCAGGGGTCACTGCACTGTACAAATACAATTTGACAAGCTAAAAATTTCTTGAGTTATCCATGAGGGATTCCCGCCCGCCTCCTGAACCACACAAAACATCCATTACTTCATTCATTCTATTGTTCTTGAGTCCAGTGTTCAGATGCCAAGTCCAAACAAAGAGTGAATGCAACAGAGGATTTTTTTGAAACTCGTACACTAGCTTGTTAGGTCAGGAAAAATACTGCATTAGGATCCTATGTCTCCACAACTACCATCCTATGACTCATTCGTCAAGCACTGAATTGTCCCACTTGCCACTCAGGCCTGCGCATCTCCCTGTTCGCTCTTAGACCCCACCATGCGGCCCTGCTGCACGGCGCTCAGCTGAGCCCGCACCGTCTCCAGCTCCTCCGCCACCGCTGCTGCCGCCTTGCTGGACTCCTCCAGCTCAGCATTCTGATGTCCGACAGGGAGATAGTGACAGGGAGCGAGTCAGGATAAGAAAAATAGTACAAGCATGAGAAGCATCACACATCAAGGTGTCAAAACTTTGCATGGTGTCCCGACTTTGGAACGCAACTCCACCCACACATTCACACATTAGGGCATACCATATCACCACACTCACTTTTTGAGCTACTTGTTCTCCTTGGCCTCTGCGTACATCTGGTTCTGCAGAGCCTACACCAGCACAGCTACCCAAATCACTTCCTTCCCCATTCAAACGAATCACAACTCACCCTTGAAGGCATGCACTCACTGCCAAAACATACGCATTCAGCCCTACAGTTGTGCACTCGGCTCACCTGCTTCTTGAGTTTCTTGTTCTCCTTGGCCTCGGCGTACGCCTGGTCCTCCAGCACGACCATCCAAGTCACTGCCTACCCAGCATAAGCCTACCCAAGGTGTGCCCTGCACTCACTGTTGACAGCCACCACCACTCACCCGCTTCTTGAGCTTCTTGTTCTCCTTGGCCTCGGCGTACGCCTGGTCCTCCAAGGCCTCCACCAGCATGGCTGCCTCTGCCCTCACCTCCAGCATCGCCTCAAACTTCTTCTCACCCGCTTCCAACTCACGGGTCATTTGTGTCACCTGGAATGGAGGCAGAGGGGAATAAGGGGAACAGGGGAAGAGAGAGCGGCAGAGAGTAGGGGTATAAGCCTCCACCAGCATGGCTGCCTCTGCCCTCACCTCCAGCATCGCCTCAAACTTCTTCTCTCCTGCCTCCAACTCGCGGGTCATTTGTGTCACCTGGAGCGGGGGAGTGGGGAGAACAGGGAAGCAGGGGAGCAAGGGAACACGGGGAGGAAGAGAGCATGGGAAGCACAGGGAAGACAGGTGCAAGGACCAACTTGTGTTTCAAATTTCGATATCCTGCCTGCATCGCATCCACCAGCAGAATGCCGTTCAAATAGGATATTGAAATTTCAAACAGCAGGATGCCATCCTCCATCTCCTGTTGGAAGCTCTCAGGTCAAAAAGTCTCCCTTCCTTTCACCTGCCATGTCCCTTGGCCTTTCACTTCCGATGGCTCATGCCCTCTCTCACCCGCTGCAATCTCCCACTGTGCTAATACCGTTTTACCTCCCCACGAAAACCCCAGGCTACAAACCTGTCCCTTGAGCCTCGAAACCTCATCCCATGTGCCGTCCAGCTGCTGCTGCACCTCCTGCGCCCAAGCCACTGCCATGCCCTTTGCAGTTGACTCACAGTCTGCATTTCCCCAGGTTCACGCAGCTGTCTCTTGAGCCTTGAGACCTTATCAAACGTGCCGTCCAGCTGCTGCTGCACCTCCTTACTCCCCTCTTAGTCCACTCACACAGCCAGCCATCAGCACCCCACGCATGCATGCCCAAGCAACATACCTGTCCCTTGAGCCTTGAGACTTCATCAAACGTGCTGTCCAGCTGCTGCTGCTGGTGCCGCCACTGCATGCCCTCTTTAGCCATTGGCCACTCCCATTCCAGTAGACCCACTTCCCCATATCCACCCACCTGCCCCTTGAGCCTTGAGACCTCATCAAACGTGCTGTCCAGCTGCTGCTGCACCTCCTGCGCCTTCTGCTCTGCTGACGCCCTGCTGACATCAGCAGCCTCCTTGTCCGCCGCCAGCCTGGCAGCCTCGTCCCGCGCGGCCGCCAGCTCAGCGGAGAGCGATGAGAGCTGGGACTGGAGGGATGGAGGGAGGGATGGAGGGATGGAGGGAGGGATGGAGGGAGGGAGAGATGGAGGGAGGGATGGAGGGAGGGAGAGATGGAGGGAGGGAGGAACAGTGCTTAGGGATGAGAGAAATAGAAAGAGTGAAGAGAAAGAGGGTGAGAGCAACCCAGCAGAGAGCGGTGACAGCTGGGAGTGGAGGGATGGAGGGATGCGAAGGGAAAGGGGTAGAGAAACAGTGAAGGGAAGGGGAGTGACCGACAGCTGCGATAGAGCCAGCTCAGCGAAGAGGAAGGAGAGATGCCAGCTGGGACTGGCAATATAAGCCGAATGATGCTCAGGAAAAGGAGAAAAGAAGTTGGGGGGGAAGGGCGGAGGGGGGAGGTGGGTGGAGTGGAAGCGAGGGGGGGTGGAGGGAAGGGAAGGGAGCGGAGGGGAGATTGTTGAACAAGGATAAGGAATGAGGTCCAACAAAGGTTTTGGGTTGGGTGGGGGGGATGCGGAAGAAAAACAAAACAAACGGTCTGGGGAGGGGTAGGTAGTGGAAGTGGGGGGAAATGAAAGGGAAAAGGGAGAAGATTGCCGAGAGGATACGCAAGAGGGAAGTGACGAGAAAGATGGTATCCTGCTTGTCAGGAAGTGACGGGAAGTGTCCTGCTTGTCACCCGACCCACACACCAGACACCACCCCCTAGCCCATCCTTGCACACCACCCCCTAGCCCATCCTTACACACCACCCCCTAGCCCATCCTTACACACCACCCCCTAGCCCATCCTTACACACCACCCCCTAGCCCATCCTTACACACCACCCCCTAGCCCATCCTTACACACCACCCCACCACCCCACCTCCACGCCCACCGCACCCCCAAACATCAACCCCCCACCCCCACAACCCACCCACCCCACCCCACATCACCCCGCACGCACCTCCATTCCTCGACGTGCCTCCTCCCCCTCCCTCTCCCGCCTCTGCACCTCCCCCAGTTCCGCCCTGAGCGCCTCAGTCTCCCCCTGAAGCGCGTCCACCACCCTGCCCGCCTCCTCCACGCCCTTCTTCAGCCGCCCCACCACCTCCCTCTCCCGCCCTAATGCTGCCAAATGCATCTGCAGCTCCTGGACGGCGGCGCTTGCCGCCCGCTGCTCCCGCTCCAAGGCGTCTTCCGCCGCCCGCTTTCCGGCATCGGCGTCGTCTGCTACCTGCTGGAGATCCGCGAGGGATTTCTGGACGGCGGAGAGTTCGCTGCGGGCTTCTTCGGCTGCCCGTTCAGCTGCCCGGACGGCGCCTTTGAGAGTCTCGGCGTCGAGTTCGAGCTGGGTTACAGCCTGCTGCTTCTGGGAAACTTCCTCCCGAGCAGAGGCCAGGTCGTTTCGGAGCGACTCGAGGGACTCGTGGGCGGCTGCCAGGCTGGCATTGGTTGATTCCACGTCAGCATGCAGAGATTGGATTCCCTCCTCCTTTTTCTGCACCGTGCTCTTCTCTCCTGCCAGCTCAGCCTGCAGGGATGCCACATCACTCTCAACCTTCGCCAGCGCACCCTGAGCATCTGCCAGCTCAGCACGCAGCCGGGCCTCCACGTCAGCACTCTCCTTCAGCTGCGCTGACTTGGCATCCAGCTCAGCAGCCGCATCCTTCTCACGCTGCTCCAGCTCCTTCACCTTCCCTTGTAACCGTGCCACGTCACCCTTTGCGGTAACCGCCTCGCCGATTTTCTGCTGCAGCTTCACCCGCCCAGTTACCAGTTCCTGCTGAAGCGCCTCCCGCTCCTTCATGGAAGCTTCCAGGTCGGCAGCAAGGCCGGCAGCCGCCTTTTGGGCGGCTGAGACGGCTCCTGCTGCTGCCTCTGCCTCCGCCTGTGCTGCTGCCAGCTGCTGCTGCCGCTGGGAGAGCTGCGTGGATAGCTGACCCGCTGGCATGGGGAACGGGGGAAAGGGGGAAAGAGGGGGGAAGGGGGGGGATAGTGGGGAAGGGGGAGGGAAGTGGAGGGGAAAGGAGGGAGGGTGCGGAGTGGAGGAGACACATAAAGGGGAAGGGGGCGGGGGAGAAGAGTTTGGGTTCAATGAAGCACCGTATTATGCATGCCGCTCCTTCTTCTGTATCTGCCTCGGTTCGGCCTTTGCTGCTGCCAGCTGCTGCTGGTGCCGCTGGGAGAGCTGCGTGGATAGCTGACCGGCTACCCGAGGGAGAGTGGGGTGGGGGAGGGAGGTGGGAGGGAGATGGGAGTGGGGGAGGGGCGCAAGGGGAATGGACGGGAGAGGGGGCAGGGGGGTAGTTTTGGGCTCGTTGAAGCACAGTGAAAAGCGTGCTCCTGCTGCTGGCTCTGCATCTGCCTCCGCCTGTGCTGCTGCTTGCGGCTGCTGCCGCTGGGAGAGCTGCGTGGATAGTTGACTAGCTGTTAAGTGGGAGGGGGGTAGTGGAGGGTGGTGAATGGGGAAGGTGGGATTGTATGGAGTGGGGGGGAGTAGGGGAGGGGTGTAAGGAGAACGGTGGGAAGTAGAGGTTGGAGGAGAAGTTAGGGTTCTCGAAGCACATGGAAAAGCGTGCTGCTGCCTCCGCCAGCCTGTGCTGTTGCCACCCTCATTGCCATCACTCACACCCACCCACCCACCCACCCACCCTTACGTTGTGATTTCGTTCAGTCACTCTCATAACCATCAGCAAACACTCTCAAACCCTAAACCCTGAGCGTGCTGCTGCCTCCACCAGCTTTGCTCTCTCCGCCTCCTCCCCCACCCTCCCCTCCACCTCCCTCCAGCCCCTCTCCGCCCGCCTACCTCCCGTTGTGCCTGCATTCAGTCTTTGACTGCAATGCAGCTGCCAGTTTCCATGCTGCCCTCCACACGCACTCACCCTTCCGTTGTGTTGTGACAGCATCCAGTCATCCAGTCATTCATCCTCGCTCATCCCTCTCCCTCACTACCACTTACCCTTCTCCTCCGCCCGCTTGGCTCTCTCCGCCTCTTCCCCCAGCCTTCCCTCCACCTCCTTCCGCGCCCTCTCCGCCTCCCCCACGCGCGCCTCTGCTGCTGCTGCCGCCGCCGCCGCCGCTGCTGCTTCCGCCTTCACCCCTTCCGCCTCCTTCGCTGCTCGCTCCGCTGCTGCCAGCGCTGCCCGCGCCTGCGCTTACAGGGCGGGAGGGGGAGAGGGGGAGAAAGGGGGAGGGGTAGGGGGAGGGGGAGAAAAGGGGAGGGCGAAGGGGAGAAAGAGGGGAGGGATGGAGAGTGAGAGAGGGATAAGAGGGAAAAACTGATTAATGGATAATGGGGTAATGCAGCACAACCCCTTTCGGCCTCCTACCTGCTGGCTCTGCTGCTGCATGCGCTGCCTGCGCCTGCGGGGATCAGGCGGGCGGAAGGTGGACGGCGGAAAGATGGAGAGAGGGGGAACGGGAGAGGGTTGGCATGGTGGTGGCATTTTTTTCTTCTTCTTCTTTCTATTTATAACAAACAAACCGGTGGTGCATTTCATAGCCTGTTGTGATTTCCCGGACGAACCTTCACCAGGTTACCCTACACCGCCACCGTAGTGCCATGGTGGTAACATGGTCGAGTCGACGCATTTGTTCATTTGCTCAAGAGAACCTTATCCGATGTCTCACACGCACCTTCGCCAGGTCACCCTCCACCGCCTCCCGCTGCGCGCGCTCCCCTCGCAGCACGAATCCCAGAGCGCCAGCTGGCGCCGCACCCAGCAGCGCCGCGCCCAACCACGCGCCGCCAAACGCCTGCTGCTGCCCCTCCGCCTGCTCCTGCTCCTGCTCCTGCTGCTGAGGCTGAGGCTGTTCAATCTGAGGCAAGAACGGAACATAGAAGCAAAGAAGAGGGAATGTGCACGGAGGCGCGAAAACGAAACAATATAAGCGACAAGTGGGACGTGGGATTGTGGGGAAATTGCCGGTGCCACGTGTAATCTCTCCCTTGCCTCCCTCGCGTCCCCCACCCTCGTTCTCCTCCCTCTCTTTTTCGATTTACCTCTCACGCGCCGCTCTTCTTACCGCAGCATTCGCGTTTGTCGCTTCTGCTGAAATGACTGCGTCTGACGTCAGCGTTGGCTCCACAATGGCGGTCTCAGCAGGAGCAACTTCCGCAATGACGTCAGCAGGCGCATCTAGCACTGCTACGTCAGCAGGAGCATCCAGCACTGCCACGTCAGCAGGAGCATCCAGCACGGCCACGTCAGCACCTTCTCCCTCCGCGCGGGCGATTCGCGGAAAACCGGCGAGCGCGAGCGCGAAAGGCCCCGCGAGGGCGAAAAGCCTGCGGCGGGAGAGGAGCTTCGCGCGGAGAGGGTGCTCCGCAGCCGCGCGCGCGCCATTTTGCGCTCCGCTGCCCTCGCTGTCATCCGCGCGCGACGACGCGCGCACACGCACCGCTCGGTAGCCCCGCGCGGGGAGCGACTCTGCGCGTCGAAGGACGGAGTGGGGGAAGCCGCCTTCTGCGGCGAGCGGGACGGCGCGCGGCACGGAGACGCCTTGGAATGCCGTGGAGGACGCGAGGGACGACGCGCAGGCTGCCATGGTTGGGCGCACAGACAATAAGAATGCGCGCGATGAGGAGGTAGAAAAGGTAAGATAACGAATTAGTCGGCTAGGATATCGGCCCGTGACGCCGCGGATACAACTGCTGAGGTGGAGAAGTGGCAACGTCGACGCTGTATTTTGAGGAGCCGCTTACAAAATGTATGGGCAACCTCCAATGCGCCCTCTTCTAGAACCTTGATGGGGAATAGGCTTCTATTCGTTTGTGGCGGGGACAAGGTGTAGCTAGTGGCTGGCATTTGGGAACGGAATTCCCTTGTGGCATGATCTGGATGATGTTCTGATGACGTGGCCAGTTCGGCGTGGAAGCTGAGGCGGACCACAAATCCTCGGCGGGAAAAGATCACAGGGGCCGAACAGTGCCAGAGAGGTGATCGAAAAGGGGCCGAGAGGCCCGGAACTAACCAAACCACTGCGCAAAAAGGTATTTGCAGAAGGTTATCATTTATTGAACGTATGTACGTTGACAACTAGCATTTTCGCTCGCGCGTTATTTTTCATGGAAATAGTTACTGATTCATCACCTTCCTCCCAATAGCGTCGTTTAGCAAGGCAGAAACTCTTAGGGCAGCCAAAAACAACTATAACCCCTAAAAACCCTGGATGCATTTTCGGGATGTATCAACCCTAAAATCGGGAACCTTCGTTGTGTTTAGGGTTGATGCCTCCCTATTCGCATCCATTTCCGAATGGGTAATATATTTTTTTCCTGCGCGTTTCCGATCAGGTAGTGATATGTATCACCCATAGTGAAATATGTTGGTCTGGACTCAAAAATTATTACGGCAATGTTTACTTCCACAAGAACGCGATGCGCGCGTAGTAGTTGATGGCGGTCGTAACCATTTTTATAAAAGTTGGACACAAAGTTTGGTGCTGGTAGCATTTCTCTTTAAGTCACGGCTCGGCTTGTTCGCCTAGCCTCTTGGGCAGCTCGGGGCTGATATCCTACGGTCGAGATTTTCTGGCCCTACTTCGATCTTCCCTCTGGCACTCTTCGGCCCCAGTTTGATCATTTCCCAACCTAGGTGAAGAAAGTTTTCGCGAAAGTCAAGAATGAAGAAATTCGTTCAATCTAGTTGGTTGTGGAAGAAAGCCACTGACGAAGTTCGTTCATTTCGCGAGGGAGCCAACTTCCGCAACCCACCACCCTGAACCCAGTTGACACAATGCAATTTCTACAAATTTCCGAAGCAATTTATTTTCACCTCTCCCGATCCCACCCCACACACACGTCACTGCTCTGACCACGGCCGCTTCACGCGCGCAGTCCTTTTCTCTTGGTGAAAGTCAGCTGCTCCCAAGTTCCGTGCTTTCATTGCGTCGATCCTCATCCGTCGATCGTCAAACTTCGATAGTGAATCGTCAATCCTCATCATGGCAGCCTTGCGGTCGGCCGTCGCCATTAGTCCAGCTGGCCTTCAACGGTCTCTCGTGCCGCAAGCAGACCTCCTGTCGAAGCGCCAACAGCTCCGCGTGGCTTCAATAAACCCAAGAAACCGACCAACTTCGGGACGGAAATCCTTGGTCGTGCGCGCTTCGGACGAGCGGTTCGACATTGGGGATTACGGAGCGCGCGACCCGCGGCCGAGTGAGCTGGAGAGCCAGTTCGGCGATAAGGTCCTCGGGAATGCCGACACGGAGCACCGCATTCTGCTGCCGTCGGGAATCACGTACGTGCTTTAAATCAAACCAGGCGGTGTGGATTGCCATGGGTTCTGTGCTCCTCCCTTACGTGAGCACTCAAGTTATCCCTATCTCTTTTTTGCAACGTACGTTCGTCGTCTTCGAATACGTCAACTTAAAGTGATTCGAATACCATTTTTTTATGATAATGTATTGCGAGTCAATACAAAGACCCACCACGAGTCACCTGACCCACGTCGACTCGCTCCGGCTCCCTTACCTTTCACGGCGCCCAAGCCCGAAGCTGCCGAGGCATCTAGTTGACGTAAATGTAGAAACTTTCCAGAACCTTGTTACTCGCTATGACAATGCCGGTACCCAAAGTCTGAAAAAGAGGGGAAACAAACTACACTTTTTGCATTGGAAGCAACAACCTGTGTTTGGACTCGCAACCGTACGTCTCTACCCTGCCCCCCTCCTGACCTTCTCCTCTCTCCGCTTTTGTCGTTTCTTGCAGCGAGGTGGCAGGCCTGGCCGCACGCAACTGCTCGCCGCTGCCAGCTGGCACGCAGCCATTGGCGGAGCCAGGAGCCCGAGAGCTGCTCAAGCGGGTGGGTCCGGCGCGGGGAAGGGGTAACGCAAGAAAAGAGAGAGGGGGGGAAGGGGGAGGGGAGGGGGGAAGGGGGAAAGTGGGGCTGTGAAGGGGCTGCAGAGAAAAGGGTGGTCTGGGTAAGGCGGGGGAGGGGTATGGGTAATGTGCCGGATGTGGCGGTAAGGGGAAGAGCGAGAGGGGGTAGTGACCGAGTACGACCGGTGCTAATGCTAGTCTCTCCAAACTTCGCACTCTAAACCCTGAACCCTCTCCGCCAGGTCGTTGGGTGAGCGCAAGTATCCTACCCATCCAGTCGCCCAACTCTGCGGCTGGGGGGAGAGTGGCGGGGGCGGAGCGGGACGAGGATAGCGGCAGGGAGCTGATGTGGCGAGTATGAAGTGTGTGTGCCATACCGGATCATGATCTCTCCAAATCTCACAACCCTGAGCCCTGAGGCCCCAAATCTTCTCCAGGTCGTTGGGTGGAAGCGCGTACGAGAACCCGCGGACCTGCGGCTAAGGGGCGAGTGGCGGGTGCGGGACGAGGGGAAGGGTGGGGAGGGGGGGAGCTGATGCGGCGGGAATGCCCATTCTCATGCAATCCCGCACCCTGAACCCTGAAACCTGAACCCCTCTCCTCCAGGTCGTGGGCTGGAAGCTAGTGTCCGAACCCTCGGGCCTGCGGCTAAGAGGCGAGTGGCGCGTGCGGGACGAGGAGAGGGGGGCGAAGCTGAAGTGGGGGATGGGGGGTGCTAATTCCTGTTATCATGCAATCCCAGCTAACCAACACTGGAAACCTTGAACCCTGAATTTTTCTTCTTCAGGTCGTTGGGTGGAAGCTAGTACCCGAACCCTCACAGCTGTGGCTAAGGGGCGTGCGGGACGAGGAGAGCGTGGGGGAGCTGATGCGGCGAGAATGCCCATTCTCATGCAATCCCACACCCGAAATCCTGAACCCTGAACCCTTCTCCTCCAGGTCGTGGGCTGGAAGCTAGTACCTGAACCCTCGGGGCTGCGGCTAAGGGGCGAGTGGCGCGTGCGCGACGAGGAGAGCGGGGGGGAGCTGATGCGAGGTGACGAGTAGGGGTGAAATCAATCTTCTTCCCATTCCAACCTCGCACCTTCTCTCAATCCCTCCAACCCCGAAATCCAACCATTCATGCAGGTCGTTGGGTGGAAGCTAGTGTCCGAACCCTCGGGCCTGCGGCTAAGAGGCGAGTGGCGCGTGCGGGACGAGGAGAGCGGGGCCGAGCTGATGCGGCGGATGGGGGCCGTGGTGGAAGCACAGCAGGAGCAGTGCGGAGGGGCGCAGCAGGCGGACATGAGCGTGCAGCAGGGCTACGTTGTGAGGGTTGACCTGCATACTCCAGCGATAGGTGAGTCATTGTTACAGGGGGAGCATGGGGCAAAGGGAGTGCAGGGGGGGCAGCAGGCGGGCATGAGCGTGCAGCAGGGCTATGTGGCCAGGGTGGACCTGCACACTCCTGCAATCGGTGAGTGGCGGGCTGTTATCAGAGGAACTTGGGCACACTGCACTGTCAGCAGAGGGTGTGTGGGGAGGGCAGCGTCCAGACATGGGCATGCACCGGGGCTATGTGGTCAGGGTGGTCCTGCACACTCCGGCCGTTGGTGAGTCATCATGGCAGGGAAAGCATGGTGCAGCAAGAGGGGGGGGTTGCGGAGGGGGCAGCAGGCGGACGTGAGCATGTAGCAGGGCTATGTGGTCAGGGTTGATCTCTATGCTCCTGCAACTGGTGCGGCGGATGGGGGGCATGGTGGAGGCATAGCAGGGGGAGTGTGGGGAAGGGTTGAGCGAACATGAGCGTGCGGGTTGAGAAAAAACGCCGTTAATTGGCAGCCAGGATGTATCGAGACAGAACCAGCGCACTCAAGCATTGGACAATCCTAAGCCCATGTGCACTACCTGCAGGTGTCTTGAGTGCGAATGACTTCATTGTCGCAGCCAAGATGGATTGAGTCAAGGCCAGCGTTCAGACCAGATAACCCCCTTTTCACTCTTTTCCTCACCTCTTTCCCTCGCTTTTCCCCACCTCTTTCCCTCTCTTTTCCCCACCTCTTTCCCTCTCTTCTCTCCCTCCCTGCAGGTGGCTTGAGTGAAAACGACTTGATCGTCGCAGCCAAGATGGATCTAGTTAAGGCCAATGTTCAAACCAGATAAGCCCCTCTCCTCACTCTCCTCCTCATGCCTTTCTCTCCTCTTCTCTCCCTCCCTGCAGGTGGCTTGGGTGAGAATGACTTTGTTATCGCAGCCACGACAGATCTTGTGAGGGTCAGCGCTCATACCAGATGAGCCTGTGTTTGCTCCCCTCCCCACCTCTTCCCCTTCTCGCTTCTCCCTCCCTGCAGGTGGCTTGAGTGAGAATGACTTCATAATTGCAGCCAAGATGGATCTAGTGAAGGTCAGCGACCTCATGAAGATATCAATCACCTTCCTCCTCTCTCTGTTGGTCTTCACCTCTCCCTCCCTCCCCGCAGGTGGCTTGAGTGAGAATGACTTCATAATTGCAGCCAAGATGGATCTAGTGAAGGTTAGCGCTCATACCAGATGAGCCTGTGTTTGCTCCCCTCCCCACCTCTTCCCCTTCTCGCTTCTCCCTCCCTGCAGGTGGCTTGAGTGAGAATGACTTCATAATTGCAGCCAAGATGGATCTAGTCAAGGTCAGCGACCTCATTAAGAAGGCTCGCTTCTGGGCTTAGGGAAAGGAGTTGGGCGTTGATATATCGGTTACCGTCGTAGATCAGTCAACGTGCCGTGCTTGAATTAAGCTCAACAACCTTACCATAGAGGCCTGCTTATGGGCTCAGGGAAGGGGGGGGGGGGGGGGGGGGGTGTGAGTGAGCCTTCTGGATTGCTGTTGCTGTAGATCACAGCACTTGTGCGTTCACAGTGCAAAACTACAAAAGTTTCCACTAGCAAAAGTTGAGAACGAGATTCCGTATAGTGCCAGCGATAGGACCTGTTGGTAAGGGGACTCTTATTACGGCAGGTTTTGTGAGGACCCCCCCCCTCCCCCCCTCCCCCCGTCCCCCCTTTTTTTTTTGCCTCTAATCATCATAAGACTCCCATGTTATGTATACATTTCTTGTAATTGACAACTGTAGCTGCACTGAAAGGTTATCATAAGCATTCCCAAAGGTCCTCCACTCTCGCGTCACTTCATAACGAAGTGAACGCCTGTATCAGTACCGCAATACCGTATAGCCCCGGATATAAGCGCATATGCGCTTATAATAAAATCATTTTTTTAGGGGGTGGCGCTAATTGAATAACGCCCATAAGCGCCGGCGCTTATATAATGACAATAACAAAATTGTATATTTAGAGCACCAAATAGTTTCATTTTCTTTTTGCCATTTCAACCGAGTCGATTTTTTTTGGAGTCATAAAGCAGAATCGCGCGCGAGCGATATTCTGCCAGCACACTGAGGAAAACACACGTCATGCCAGCACATCCTGACTGGACGCGCAGCCAGTCAGGTCTTCGAGAGTCAAACGAAGCGAAATTGAAATCTGACTCGCTGCAAAAATGAATCTCGTTAATGTTCTAAGCAATATTTTAAATTAAAATTACACATGCGCTTATAATAAGTAAAGCATTTTTAGGGGGGGCGCTTATAATCGAGGAACGGCCATAAGCGCCATGCTCCAGATAGAAGCGCCGGCGCTTGTAATAGGCCAGCGCCTATATCTGGGGCCATACGGTAGCTCATATAGAGCACGCGGAAGGTCGAGGGTCACCCGAAGGTCAACAGTCGAAGACAGTCCAACGGTCGCGACCCTTGACTGCCCAGTAACCGCACAAGACAGTTACGAAGTACAGCGTGGTAACTGTCTAGAATGGCATTGGCTGTTATGAGTTGTGAAAGGAAGAGTGCGCAGAACTCAATAATGCGGAAGTGATTACAACGTTTGAGAACACAACGAGGCCTAGGACTAATATAGCGAAGCTAGCTAGGCCGAGGTCGCGGGGTCGCGAGATGGTTGGGTGCAGGTTCGGGGTTGGAAAACCCGAAGGCGATGCGGTGGTGGCTCGGAAGGCGAGGTCGGCGGACCGAGCCTGGTTTTCAGAAAACCGGGGTTGTACGCGTACAGTGTGACCCAGTAAGGAATCCGGAAAATTCCTTACACTACCCCCCCCCTTAAGAAAGGTGGTGAATATCCGAGACACCTCGGCGGGCCAGGTAAGCATCCACAACCGGATGTCCTAGTAGCGAATCAGCAGCGACATACGTGTCGTCCTCGCTCGTGTGTTCTTTCCAGCGAAGCAGGAATTTCACCGAGCGGCCGGCGGCAGTCACGTCCACGCGATGGTTGAGAATCTTCCAAGGTTCCAGCGTGGGCTCCGCCACGGGGCGTGTGGTCGGCGCGATGGTTGGCCGAGCAACAGCTGGCGACTGCGGCTGTTCGTAATGACGCAGCAGACTGACGTGGAAGGCGTCATGTATTTTCCAATCGTCGGGCAGTAGCAGCTTCGCGGTGACAGGTGTCACCATCTGGATGATACGAAATGGTCCCACGTATTGGGGCCTTCGTTTCGCGGGCTGCGGCAGCCTGAGGTTCTTGGTGTCCAGAAGCACAACTTGCCCTGCGCGGAAGGGTAAATTCCGTCGATGTTTATCCGCCTGACGACTGGCCGTGGTATTAGCCTTACGAATGAAATCAACGGCTTTCGTGCGGGCTGTCTGCAGCTCCGTGACAAACTGCTGCGATCGTGGTACCGGGTTGTCCACAGTCGTTGACGAGGTTCCACGGGGTCTATCCCGTAATTCAAGAAGAAGGGCGATTGTTTGGTCGTGGCCGAAGGGGCGTTGTTGTACGCGAATTCCAGCATCGGCAGTGAATCTTCCCACTTGCGAATGTCTGGGCAGTTGGTGCGAATCAGTTGCTCCATGGTCTGATTTGTCCGTTCCGTCTGTCCGTCGGTTTGCGGGTTGTATGACGACGAAAACTGCAGGCGGGTGCCGTACTGTGCCCATGTCTCCTGCCAGAACTTCGACGTAAATTTCGGATCACGATCGTTGATGATCGCCGAAGGTAACCCGTGTAGGCGTACGACGGTGGAGATGAACAGTTTGGCTGTATCTTCGGCTGTGATCGTCGTTCGGCATGGGGTGAAATGCGCCATTTTCGTCAGGCGATCGACGACGACCATCACCGAGTCGTTGCTACTCGTGCCAGCTGGAAGCCCCGTGACAAAATCCATGTTAGAATCAACAAGTGTGAAACAGAAATGAAGAAAGGGAGGGATTCACTAGCAGCAGTTGGGATACATATAGTAAACCCTAACAGGGTTGTACTCGCTATAGAGCACCCCACTACAGGCTAGATAATAACATTCTGACACACCCCCATAGCCAAAGTGGGGTGTAATCAGCACAATGAGCAGGCATAGTAGGAGTGCACAATAATAAGCAAAGCTAGAGGTAATCACAGCGGGCAAGTGAGGAGGAGGAGGGACTGTGCGAGGATAGAAGATGGGAGACGACGGTTGAAGTTGCAGACACACGGGCAACAGGAGCTGCTGGCACAGTGGCTACCGAGACAGCGCCCCGGACTACTGGAGTAACTGGCTCACGGGCTACGAGGAGCTACAGGAGCAACGGACCCACGGGCGACAGGCGCAGCAGACTCTCTGGGCTACCAGGACAGTGCGCCCCGGACTGCAGGTGCTGCGGACGACAAGACAGCAGCCTCCACTCAACCTCCCCCGACCGTCCCACACCCCTCTCACACACCCCCTGCTGAAACCCTAGCTCCACTCCCACGGCACCCCCCTTAAACCCTAAACCCTCGGCTCCCACACACCCACCCCCCTCAGCGGCAGCTGCAGCAGTGGGAGACGGAGGAGGAGGAGGAGCAGGGGACGGTGCACACACCCGTCACCCCCAGAACCGCCACCCCCAGAACCGCCACCCCCACACTCCTCAGCCCAAAACCCTAAAACGGGTTGCAAGGGGCAGGAGCGCGGGGGACGGCGGGGGGGGACGGCGCACGGCTCGCAGGGCGCCATCACGGGGCAGCAGGGGGCCGCACGCGACTCCCCAGGGCGGCGCGACGGGGCAGCGGGGGGTCGCGCGCGACTCCCCAGGGTGCCACGACGGACGGGCGGGGGCAGCGCGCGGCTCCCCAGGGTGCCACGACGGACGGGCGCGGGCAGCGCGCGGCTCCCCAGGGTGCCGCGACGGACGGGCGGGGGCCGCGCGCAACTCCCCAGGGCGCCGCGACGGACGGGCGGGGGCAGCGCGCGGCTCCCCAGGGTGCCGCGACGGACGGGCGGGGGCAGCGCGCGGCTCGCCAGGGGGCGCCAGGAAGAAGAAAGGGCCGCGCGCCCCCCGGGCGCGCGCCACACAGGAAAACCGCCGCGCGCATCAGACGCGCGGCGGGAAGAAAAAATTTCGTCGCGCGCTCCGCGCGCGGCAGGAAGAAAGGGTAGCGCGCTCGGGGCGCGCGACAGCAGTAGAGCAGCGGAAGCTTTAGGTGGTGGGCCCACCCACAGGATTGACCCAAGGGGGTCGACCTGCTCTGATAGCATGTCAGAAACTAGCAGTGAGAAACAGAAATGAAGAAAGGGAGGGATTCACTAGCAGCAGTTGGGATACATATAGTAAACCCTAACAGGGTTGTACTCGCTATAGAGCACCCCACTACAGGCTAGATAATAACATTCTGACAATCCATCGTCACCTGTTGCCACGGTCGTTCGGGTGGCGCGAGGGGTTGCAGCAGTCCGGCTGGCCTTTGTCGCGACGACTTCATTGCTTGGCAGGTCGGGCAAGTTGACACGTAGCGCTGCACATCGGTGTGCATGTCCGGCCAGAAATAATTCCGCTGCAGCAGCTTCAGTGTTTTGTCGGTGCTGAAATGCCCGGAGAGGTTGGAGTCGTGGACCTCCTGCGTCAGCAACTCCCGTAAAGGCTGGTATGCTGGTACCCAAATCCGGTTCGTACCGGCTTTTAGGTAGTACTTGCCATGTGGCGTGGCAGCCTGTTGGTGCGGGTTCCGAAAAAACCTGTCGATCTTTTAGCCATGGGTGAATAGTCCCGTCAGCATCGGGTTGGTGTGGGCGATTAGTACCACCGCTTTTTGCATGGATGGTCGGGCGAGGGCGTCGGCGATGTTGTTGGCGCCCTTCTTGTACGTGATGGTGTACCGAAAATTGGACTCGAGGAAGTCCAACCACCGGATTTGTCGCGGGTTGAGTGTCGGTTGTGTACGCATGTACTGTAGCGATTTGTGGTCGGTTCGGATTGTCACGTCGGCTCCCGTGAGGTAGCAGCGCCAGGTACGAAATGCGTGGACGATGGCCAGCATTTCTTTGTCGTGGACTGGGTAGTTGCGCTCAGGTGGCTGCTGTCAAACATTATATGTGTTGTAGTTTGTAGGCTACAGTTGGGTTAGCCTCTAGGGGGTACATTGCTCTAGTGTTTTGTACTTGTACTCCCATCCTTTCTAGTCCAACCACTTCACTCATTCTGACATGGTATTACGAGCCTAGGATTAGGAACCTAGGACCGTTCTTAGGGCCCACCGTTTCCGCTCGAAGCGCCCTCGTGCGCCGTCCTTTCCTAGCGCCCTCGTGCGCCTCGCTCCTAGTGCGCCCTCGCGCGCCTCCTCTCCCCTTACGCTGCCCGTACGCAGCCGCTAGCAACCCGCGCGCGCGGCCTGTTTTCCCGTCGCGTAGCCCGCTAGCCGCCCG